AGTCACCAGAATGGAGGTGCGCAGACAGCAAGGAACCAATGAACAGATACCAAAAGAAAAGAATGTCCACACCTTTATCTCAGCGGTTCTGCCAGGCTTCTGTAGCCGCTCTGATCCTTCCCTCGCATGCTCTCACCCAAGATGGCGGCTCCTGGAGCAGCCAAGCGTCCTGGACTAGAAAACAATGGATTTCTTGCTTCTGCCACAAATTCTCCCAGCTGTGAGCCTTCCAAACTTCTAAATATTCCTTTATATGTGGTTCAGAGTTTTGGGACCATCCCCTGAGCCTGCTTGGTCAGGTATTCTGTGTTGTTGTTGGCGGAGCTCTTTCCTACACATCCACCTGATCCACCATCTTGTTTGCTCCCCAACACCATTTTTTTTTTCTTTTTTTGCCCATCTAGAGATTTTTATTCAGGGTGAGGAAGGTAACCTCTGCCGGAGAGAGAAGGTAGGAGGCAGAAGGGAAGAGAGGAAGAAGAAGAGGAGCAGAGAGAGAAGAGGGCAGAAATAAGAGGAAGAAGAGAAGAGAGCCCCAACACCATTTTTAAACAACATAAAAGACTGCTATCCACATGGACCTCACCAAATGAAATGCATGGAAATCCAATTGACTACAACTGCGGGAAAAGGTGGTATCATCAGCCAAAACAAGGCCAGGGGGAGACTGGGGAACAGACCATCAATTGCTCATATGCAAGTTCAGGTTCAAGCTGAGGAACATTAAAACAAGTCCACGAGAATCAAAATATGACCTTGTACGTATCCCACATAACTGAATTTAGAGGTCATCTCAAGAAAGATTTGAGGCATTAAACAGTAATGGCTGAAGACCAGAAGAGTTGTGGGTTGACATCAAGAACATCATACAGAAAGCACTGGAGGCACTCACTCATCTATGCCAAGAAATGTCAAAAACAGCTACCTGGCCAACTGACTAGATGAGATCCATATTTGTGCCCATTTCAAAGAGAGGTGACCCAACAGAATGCAAAAATCATCAGACAATATCAATATCGCATGCAAGTAAAATTTTGCTAAAGATAATTTAAAAATGGCTGTAACAGTGACATTGACAGGAAACTGCAGAGGTTCAAGCCAGATTCAGAAGAGAATGTGGAACGAGGGATATCATTGCTGGCATCAGATGGATCTTGGCTGAAAGCAGAGAATACCAGAAGGATATTTATCTATGCTTTATTGACTATGCAAAGACTTTTGACTGTGTGGGTCATGACAAACTATGGACCAGATTGCAGAGCGTAAGTATTCCTTAACACTTTATTGTGCTTCTAAGCAACTTGTGCATAGGCCAAGAGGCAGCTGTTCAAACAGAACAAGGGAACACTGACTGGTGTAAAGTTATGAAAGGTGTGTGTCAGAGTTATAGTGTTTGACCATTACTTATTCAGTTTGTATGCGGAGCAAATAATCTGAGAAGCTGGGTTATATGAGGTAAAACATGGCATCAGGATTGGAGAAAGACTCATTAACAACCTGTGATAATGCAGATGATACAACCTTGCTTGCTGAAAGCAAAGAGGACTTAAAATACTTACTAATGAAGATCAAAGACCATAGCCTTCCATATGGCTTGCACCTCAAATGTAAAGAAAACAAAAATCCTCGCCACTGGACTAATAAACAACATCCACATAAATGGAGAAAAGATTGAAATTGTCAAAGACTTCATTTTACTCACATCAACCATCAACACTCATGGAAGCAAGAATCAAGAAATCAAACAACATATTGCATTAGGCGAATCTGCTGCACAAGACCCCTTTAAAATGTTTAAAAGCAAAGGTATCAGTTTGAAGACCAGTAGCGTCTGACACAAGCCACGGTATTTTCAATAGCCTCATCTGCATGTGAAAGTTGGACAGGGAATAAAAGAAGACTGTAGAATTGATGCTGTTGAGTTATGGTGTTGGAGAATACTGAAAGTACTAGACAACTAAAAGAACAAACCAATCTGTGTTTGAAGAAGTACAACCAGAATACTCCTTGGAAGCAAGGGTGTTGAGACTTTGTCTGTCATAATTTGGACATATTGTCAGGAGGAACCGGTCCCTAGAGAAGGATATCATATTTTGTAAAGTGGTGGGTCAGAGAAAAAGAGGAAGACCCGCAACGAGATAGATTGGCACAGTGACAGCAGCAATGGTGGGCTCAAGCTTAACAATGATTGTGAGGATGTCGCAGGACTGGGTAGTGTTTCATTCTGTTGGGCATAGGGACACTATGAGTTGGAATCGACTAGGTGGCACCTAACAACAAGAAGGATGGCTAACTCAAAAAAAAAATCACAAAAAACCATAAACTAACAAATGTTAGGGAGGATGTGGGGAAATTGGAACCCTTTTCCATTGCTCCTGGGAATACAAAATGATAAAGCCATTTTGGAAAACAGTG